AAATTCTCAAGTGGCTTTGTTGAATAATAACAATGATGATATTGTAATAATAATGATGATAGCAGCAATACAACAAGGTTTGGTAAGCTGCAGTAGAAAATCGCTTTGGATGGTCAAGGGAGATTTCACAGACAAGATGAAACTTAGGGCAAGTCTGAAGGGTCTACCCATAGATGCGAGGTATTACAGACAAGGGGCAAATAAGACATCATTTACGGGCTGGATTTGTATTTGGCATTTCAGTGTTAGGAAAACAACAGGCAGGAGGTTTGTGGCTGGGAAGTATAAGGGGTTGGAGTCTCAGCATCGAGCCTGTGTAGATCCTCAGAAAAGGACCCTTTTGGCTTTTGCATTTGTTTGAAGAGTCTGAAGTAAATTGGCAAACGGTTCCTGAACTAGATCCTCTTTTGCTTCGAGGGGGAAAAATGGTATGAGCTGGCCCTTTCTCCTCTTTGTCTTTAGCATGAAGTAAGAATGCCAAAGAGGGCGGGCTTTCAAGACTTCATATAGAGTTTTTTTTTTTTTGAACTCTCCTTTTTATTGATTTTTTTCAACTCCTAGGTGAATGTGGGTGAACCTATGGCACATGTCCCACAGCTGGCTATTTGTTATTGTTGAAAGCTCTGAAAGGTCCACATTCACTGCCCTAGGTGGATGGCAATTTTCCTGCCCATTATAGCATCAGGAGCACCGTGGGTTGGATGTACACTCCTCTATCTATCTGATCTTGTGGTCAGGAGGCTTCACTCTGTCAAAACCAACCAACAAAAGGCTCCACTACAGAAAGGAGATTTGTGGGAGAGAAGGAGGTGGGCTGGCCAGCCACTGTTCTCTCCTCCAAATGACTTCCTCCTGTGAACGTAAGTCTGCAGACCCCTGCTGTCAAGGAGTGCTCTATGGATTTGTTAATGATTCACCCACTGGTCTGTGGCAGTCTTCTAGCTTCTAAATAAAAACTAACAACTTTTTACATTTTATTTTTATTTCTTTGATTTTGTGAGACAGGGTCTCAGTAGGTAGTTTAGCCTGGCTTTGAACCCATTATGTAGCCCAGGCTGGCTTCAAACTCATGGCGATCCTCTTGCCTCAGCCTCCCGAGTGCTGGGTTGACTGTGTGCTACCACACAGGGCTGTTTTTTTAATATGTGAAGTATTTTAGTGCAATAGAAAGAACATGGGCTTTTTGACTGAATAGGCTTGGTTTTGATCTCTACTTTGGCACTTGCTAGATGTGACACTGAATCACTTGCTCGATGTTCTGATGCTCAATTTTTTTGGCCTATAAGGGAGAATATTAAAATTCAGTTCACACATTGGTATGCATATATGGTTTAATAAGGTTGGCACATAAGTGGTTGGAGCATAACTTAATAAAAAATAATTGAATCCTCTTTATTTCTTCTTGGAATAAACAGATTTCCTGAGTGTAAGGGAAGAACCCAAGAAATTGAGAGATGAATTACTCCTATACAGGGACCACACTGAAAATTTCCACATTAGACAGTTGTTTATAACTCTTAGCTATTAGGTTCATACTTTCTTTGAATTTTCATTATTACTTTAGGAAGCTATATTCGAGAATGAGAAAGAGACATTTTTCTTGATGAAAGTTGGTAATAGAATTCCAAATGACAGGAATTAATAATAAGAGAATGGAGCAAGAATTATTTTTGATGAAGTTACACAGGAGTATACTCCTCTACTGAGATACCCAAGATAGGATTTGTTGAGGTGAGAACAGGAACACAATGAACAAGATACGCTTCCTTAATTGGCTTTCTTTTCCCTCAAGATTAGTTTTAATACAAAGTAAGGTGTTTGAGGGCTGGGGATTTAGCTCAGTGGTTCTGGTGTCTACTTCACAAGTGCAAGGACCCAAGTTTGATCCCTGGTACCAAACAACAAACAAAACAAAGGAAGATGTTTGAAAAAAGTTCAAACTGATTTGATTTGCAACAAAAAGTAGCTGTAGGAGAGAACTGAAAAAGTTATTCTAAAGTTTTAAGACAATGTGGTCCAAATGTTTGGCTACCATCTTTTGAGCTACATTATTTGATCTGATTTTTCTAACCATGGGCTATCACAGTTCAGTTTGGTGCTGAGTGATTTCATAAATCATCTTCATGATTCTGTCCCTCTGTTCTTCCCAAGAATGTGGCTTTGATAAATAAGCGACAGTTATAACATGTTTTCTTTTATCACATGTACATCCAAAGTTATAAAATCTCAATGTTGCTCAAGCTCAGAGTTTTACCACGTATATTGTGTTGGCTTAGATTGTATTGATTCTGTCAGCCTTTTCTGTGCCAGCCTGAGAAAGAAAAGTCTCCCCAATATGTGATTCCATGACCTTTCTTTTTCATCTCATTTCTGCCTGGAGGGATCAAGAAAGCAGGGCTGGGGTCCTTCCTGAGGGCATGCAGGGAGTGGTACAGCTGGCCTGGAATCCTAGCTTGTAGAGAGCAGGTGCTGAGGAGCAGAGCCAGGATGGATAGATGAATCCACAGGTGCAGTTGGTAACTGGGTTCTCAGGTCAATATCTGAAAGTTCGCAATTCAGAGTAGAGGCCTTATCAACAGCAAAGCAGCCACATCTACCTGAGCGAGAGGGAAAGGAGACAGTAGCTTGCACCTGCTTTCCACTTCTTCCTGCAGTGCTAGAGCTGGGTCCTACCAGTTCACCAGAGCCAGTGCTACACTTCTCTTCACAACCCCATGTTTGGTGAGATCACAATGGTAACTTGAAATTGGCCACTGTGGGAAGTAGTTTATTCCACAGGAACTGGCAAATGCTCCAAATTTGTCACTTTATTGCAAGATTCATAACTTCTTATTAGACAAGTAGAAATAATAATCATTTTATTGGTAATCAAATAGAAGTTTTGAGGACAGTAAATTATAGTGTTTAAAACTGTAATTGGATGCTTAGCAGGTAATCAATTTTAATTACTTGGTGAGTTATGTCAAGTTTAGTAATTTAACCTCCAATTTGTATGGCAGTCTTCAGTTTATGGCCCTGAAGAAAGAACCAGATGTCTGATAAAGTTTCAGTATAGAAACCAGTATACATACCAGTGTGGGGAACAAAAATAAGATCGACTTCCCAATTATTTCTCTTAAAAATCAGCTTGTAGGTTACAGATAAATAAATCCCTGGCACTCCTATTAAATGTTGCATGGTGCTTGTTCACAGATCAGCAGATGCCCTAATGAAGGCCATATAGTTCTTATTAAAATGTGCAAATCAAGTTGAGGATATGAATCAGGGAACTTTAACATTGATCTGAGTAGGTTTCTTTTTTTAAAAATTCCATCTAATACAAAATTGTTTAAAGCAACAGTTCTTTAATTTCTTTTACAGACAAACTTTAGTAAACCTAAAAAAAAAAAAAAAAAAAAAAAAAAAAAAACCCAAA